ATCATTAAACATTCAACATGTTGCTTCCTTTTACCATATTATTTTACAAGTACATGCTCCCACGGATTGTTGCAGTCCTTATACAGGTTTGTTTGCTTTTTTGCCATTTGTAGTTGTATCATTTATTTTCAAGCTTCATCAGGGAGAATTAGGCTGTCACCAGGTGTGACTTTAAGAACCCATAGGAATATCTAAGTGACACAGCTTTCAATCAGGTGAAACAAAGATATAAGTCAAACACAATATTCCAAACAACACCTGTTTAACCATAGCAATCACCACTCTTGAGTACAGTCTAAAACAAAGGGGCCAATTTAACATTTGCACAAGTCAATTCCATGACTTTGTACAAATACATGTAAGTATTTGCACTTGCATATGAAACATTAATGATACACATTTTTGTCCTTTAAAATATCTGATTTGCTTTCAAGTATATTCTTTAACAGTCAGACTTAACACATTATATGTGTTTATTGCTTTCAAGTATTTTCTTTAACACAGTCAGACTTAACACATTATATGTGTTTATTGTCATGAGACGAGAAAATAAAAGTTTCTAAGCTTACAAAGTCTGGTTAGAACATGAACTCTGAACCTGATGGGCAATAGCTGCTTTCTCAATGGTGTGACCAATGTAATAGAGCTCATTTCCAACAAAAGCTAAGCAGAATATGCTGTGGATGTGCATTGATTAAATTAGGTCAGTTTAGGACCAGGAATACAATACAATTGACAATACTGGACATAGATAATTTAGATTGAAAACAAACATGACTCAATTTCAAACTCTCTGATGCCATCCATTCCAAATTTTCAGGGCCTCTAAAGTGTCTTCCCTTGTAGCCTATTTTTTTCTGTGTTTTATTCACATGTTAAGCCCCTTCCCCAAGTCCCTGCAGTCCTCTGCCTTGTTTATGTTCCTCCTCTAACACCATGGTGCTCACAGTGTGGTTCCTGTACCAGCAGCATTGGAATCCTGTGGGATCTTATTAAAGGTACACATTTCCTAGTTCACTAGCAGAGAATTGGAAAGTCTACTGGGTGGGTGGAGCCACTCAATTTTTTTAGGGAATTGATGCTCAAGGTAGAGAAACACATCTCCACAGTTCCCACTCTTTCCCAACTTCACTCCCAGTTTATACTCCATAAATGTCATGTCCGAATGACTTTTCCAAAGCTCACCTCTCACCTTGTTTCTGTATTATTTAGTACTTAAATAGTTCTGATTTCTTAAGATAATTCAGAAATTTACATAGCATTAGGAGGAAGACTTTGTCTCATGTATGCGTATTAGGTCTTATAAATTTATTTAAGAATCTATGGGCCTGTTGTGTTTCTCACACACTCATTTTTGGGTAGCTATTGTTTTGATTTAAAATTCATGATGAATCTACTTTTGCATAAGCTGTAGTTTTTGAAATTACTGATTTAAATGATATAGCTTATGCATAAAAATAATAAAAAAGAAACTTGCCAATTTCCACTGGATCAGTAAATTTATTGAAATTTAAAGTGTTGATCATTTTGTTTATATTCCAAAAGTCTGACTCAGACTTACTTGGTTAATAAGGTTGTCTCATTCAGAGATATTTCACAATTATCAGACAGTAAGATATTTGAACAAGGCTACTGAACATTGGTCCATGAATGTGTGGTTTATTGTGTTTGTTAACAGCCCATGATGTGATCAGAAGTGAAACACAGAGCAAGCATTTGCAAACAGAGAATTTTAACATAATAGTATTTTATTGTTGAATAAAAATTTGTACGTTATATGATCTTATTTACTTAGATTTTATATTAGCATTCATTTTATAACACCATGAAAACCATGCTTTTGGCAGAGATTAGAATAATAAAACTTGTCCTGTTGTCAGAGATCTTTTGATCAGCACTGGTTACAGCATGAAATTAGGGATAGGTGATTGAAGCTTGGCTGTCTGAAATTGTAGCTTCCAACTTGGTGAGGAGAGCACATCACTTAGCCATTTTTGATAAGTGAGAAGAATAATGTAGCTGCTTTGAGAGGATGTTTGAGATTTAAAAGTTTGATTTATGCATAAGGCAATATGAAATGCTTTTTTAAAAAAAAATCAGGAGGCACGAGAAGCCCTAGTACAACACCACCTATTGGGGAGGAGGGCACCACAGCCAGCAAACCCAGCACTGGAGCTACAAGCCCAGGAACTTCAGGTAAGTTGGGATGTGTGCTTAGTGTCTATGAAGTGCATACAGTAACAAAGCATGTAGGCTGTTGGGTAAACCATGAAAATGTACAAAAAGATCAAAATTTTTGCTGGATCTTCTCATCTCCTCCTTCAGAGGAAGTAGCATACATTGCAAGCACTGTTACTGTGTTTGTCAGGTACAACAGGAGGGTCTCTGGTAACAACCTCAGGAGCAGGCAGGGTCAATCCAACTGGACAATCCAGCACTGGGGCCACCAGCCCTGGAAGCCCAACAGGTATGAGAGACACTTCCCAGGGGCTTGTGCTGGGATCTAATACAAGTTATGTAAGATCTCCAAATGTGAGAATAGATACAGTTAAGGTAGCAATGGAGAATAGGAAATTATGACAAAATTGAAAGTGTGCATTGTCCTTCAAAGAGTGTTTTCTTCCTAGCTCTCTGTGTAGACTAAGCACCATTCTTCTTCCTAATAGCAACAGGAGGAGGAGCTGATGCAACCACCACTGTCTCTGCTGGTGAGAACACATCTGGAACCACAGGTACTGAAGGAGCATAAGCAGGTGAAATCCAGGCAGTAGATGTGAGAGCTTTTTGCCCCAAACCTATTCAGAGACAATGTTACCTGGGGCATCTGACCATTATGGTCGAGGTGTAGCCAATTCTCCAGAAAATCATGAATATATCTATGAGTTTTTTTCTTAATACATCTTAGAGTCACTGTGGATTATGGTGAAAGATTAGGGAAATCTAACTGATGTCACCCTGTGCCAAGTGGGAAACAGAAATTAAGAACCATCTAGGTGCAATAAGTAATACCTTTAAGAGGATAGTTAAGATAGCAATGAAGACAGCAAGTTAGATAACAATCAAGAGTGGAAAAGATGAAAACTGGATCATAAGATAGTTCTAGTGTACAAGGAAAAGGATATTAAGCTTTAATCATGATTTATTGATACAATTATGCTATTTTTAACAATAATAACTTAATTCAAAGAGTACATTCTCAGAATTAACTGATTTACCTTATTTACCCTGAGAAAGAATATCCGATGCCAGTGAATTTTGTAGGGTAAATCCATCTGTTATTTTAAAATATATTCCAGATCATTGTTGATAAGAAGTCCCTCCTTTAGGTTTCTTAAGCTGACTTATTTTTTTTCCCTTGATAAATCTCAGGCACCCCTGGAGCATCATCTGGAGCAACCCCTGAAGCTCAAGGTGGTAGCACACCTAGAGAGGCAGGGACTGCAACCACTGGTTCAGGTGAGGTCCACTGTTCTGGTTGTCATGCATATGCATTTATCATCCATGCCCTCCTTTTGTAAAATCAGGCCCTAACTTGGATTTCATTGGAGGAGCAAGAAAATTATTAGGATCCTTTTCTCCATTTTCTAAATCTAGAGACTTTCAATTACTCATAGGGTTTGCAGGAATAATATGTATTCTCCAAACCCCATATACTGTTCTTGGCTCTAAAATCCATAGGAGTTTCTGAAGGCCCCACTAGTACTAGCCATGGACACTCAGCTAGAAAAGTCACAACTTCTGCTAGCAGCAAATCAGGTAGGTAGAGGGTACAGTCCATGCTTTTTTCAGAGTAAGATGGAGTGTGTGTGCCCGTCGTTTTCTATGGAGTGTAGTAAAGAGTACAAAGAGGTAGTAGGGAATGAAGCATGTGAGGTCAAAACACTTCACCAAGAATTTCTCAGGTAACAGTGGGTCAGCTGGATTAGATGGTCTTTCTATAGTATCACACAATTGTCCCTGTATGTGCCTATATTCTATAGTGTTCGTGGTATACTTGACCTGGAGCTTCGGATGCTATGAGTCTGTAGTGAAGACATAGTTTCCTGTGGTGTTTAAAAATCATATTTGAGTTGAGAAAATTTTTTATCATAGACCCATTTAACATGAAATCTTGGAAAAACCTTTTTTTTAAAGCCTCAGTTGCTTCTAATGTTCAGCATTTGGTGAGAACCATTACTCAAACAAGTGAATGTAAAAAAGTAGGTAGCTGGTGCTGTTGTCCATGAGTGTAATCCCATTATCTCCAGAAGCTGAGACAGAAGGATTGCAAGTCCAAAGCCAGCCTCAGCAAAAGTGAAGCACTAAGCAACTCAGTGAGACCCTTTCTCTAAATAAAATACACAATAGGGCTGGGGATGTGGTTGAGTACCCTGAGCTTAATCTCGGGTATCAA